CCACCTCTGTCTTTGCAGAGTGAGTCCAAAGACTGGCACAGTCAGGAGGTCTGAGAGTGCGGGCGGGGGGGTAGGGGGGATTATGGGGGTTCAGGAGCGCCCGCGTGGCTACTTTCCCGGCGCTTGAGCGATGGCGGCTGGGTCGGGAGCAGGCGTGGTTCTCCTTCCCGCGGTGGATCGGGGCCCGGCCTACCTTCCGGCGCTTGAGCGATGGCGGCTGGGTGGGGAGAAGGCGTGGTTCTCCTTCCCGCAGTGGATCGGCCGGCCTTCTGTTTCCTGTGCTTTTTGAACAAAAAGCCCAACATTTCCATTTCGCACAGGGCCCCACAAATTATGCAGCCCCCTGCACACCGTGGTGCAGAGTACATAAGGAACATTTCCCTCGAGGACCTGAGACCAAGCTGGTGAGACCACCCTCATGCGCTAGGACCATCTGACCCACGCACGGGATGGGCCAGGCCAGGGCGAGGCAGAGGAGGGTCACCATGCCCACAGCTCACCTCCGTGGGAGGGTCGGGGTCACATTTTGCTGTGTAGACTCTGATCGGTATAGATAGCAGGTGTTGGTCAGAGCTCTGAGGTCAGAGAGAGCTTTCTTTGGTCTGTTTTCACATGGCCACTGCAGTCAAGAATGCAAGAGGACTTTCGAACCCAGGCCTCCTGAGCCCCACGCCAGGGAGCCACCAGCCCACTGCCTCCGGTCTTCTGAGCACACAGCAGAGGGGAAACAGCTGCCTGTGGGGATGGGCCTGGCTGTCCCCTGTCCAGGCTGCAGCCTAGCATTTCTCCAAACAGGCTGACAGGTGACCTGGAGACAGGGTGAGCAAGACTTGGAGGAGCCTTCGGAACAGATGTGTCAAGAAGTCAGCATGGAAGGGGCCGGAATTCTGGCAATAGTCTGGTGTCAGCTGTTGGAGGTCCACAGCAGAACCGCAATTCCAGAGGTTTCAGCATCAGGGCTTAGGGGCCACGCACAGTGCAGAGCCGTGGGGCCCCCAGATAATCCACTGGGCCCCTCAGAGAGGAAGGGACAAGGCTCAAAGCCCCCTCACCCATGGCAGTTCTGATTCACCAGTTTAGGCTTTTGTGTTGGATCTTTGTACAAAAAATTTCACAGCCAGAAAACACTGAGAACTTGCCCATCACCACCAAGCCTCTCCTTGGAGCAATGAAACAGCTGAGGGGCAGAGAGGGCGGACGCTGGCCACCACTGTCCCAAGCTGGGGCTCCCCGGCGTGAGCCTCCCACCTCTCACCCACCCCAGCTATGATGGATGAGCCCCTTCCACGAGTGTGGAATCCGCACATGTGCCTCAGTGCAGGAATCCGAATTCGTGGAAAAGCATGACTCAACCTGGTACAGAAGAAGGGAGCAGTAATTTTCCAGAAGACAACCAGAAACAAACAGTGTAAATCCCACATCCTAGAACCAAAGCTCTTTGCGCAAATCCATCGCGGATCTCTGGTGCCAGGATTCCCCTCGTGGGTCACCTGGCTGACCTCACCGTGGCAGTTTCCAACAGCGAGACAACACGGCCATCCCTGCCCTCAGCATCGTCACCGGCCAGTCCCGGTCATCCACCTCCGCTGCGTTTGTCAGGGACAAATATTTAGATGTTCCACGTCTGTGGAGTCACAGTGGCTTTTGCGTCTGGAGGGCGGGCTCACAGAGGTGAATGAGCCCCATTTCTGTTTGGCTGCCAGGGGGTCATGCAACCCAAAGGACCCTTAGCCAGTGACACTGGCCCAGCTCTGTTGGGTGGGGGTCTCCTCTGGGAATGACGAGACATTCGGGAACTAGGAGGAAGGTGGCCGGACAATAGCATGGATGCCACTAATGCCACCGACTTGCACACCCACCCTAAGGTGGCTAACTGCATGTTGTGTGAATTTCAACCGCGCTTTTTTTTTAAAGGATTATGCAGTCTAGCGGTTTAGGGTTTTTAATTTTGAGGATGTGGGGTGCACAATAGGGGCAGCAGGCTTGGGGGGCGGCATCCAGGGCCCACTCCTGGGGGAAGGGAGCCTCCCAAAGCCACCCGCCTGCTCATCCCTCAGCATAGTTCTCTCTCCTCTCTGCATGGCCCTGGGACACCAAGACAGTCACCAGGGCTGG